TGATAATTCTACGACTATCGCATGCAAATTAATTAAATGTATAAAAACCTTACCCGTAACATAAAATCACTTTTAAAGCAAAAAATTAACAATTTACCAACATATAAGAACAAAATCTAAGCTCAACGAGCCAGGCAACAGATTGGGAATATATATATATGTCATAATAAGAGCAAAACAAGGAAAAAGGAAAAGCCGGAGCAGTGTCGATGCGTGCTTAGATCCATATTGAAGAAGAATTTTGATTGCGTAGTATTTAAAGAACTTGGCAGTCGAGGCAGTTTCAATTCCATTTTTATTTCCAATTGATATTTGTGGCCACAATCACTTGGCACTCTAGTCGTGCCTTTCCACAGAAGATTTGCATTTTTGATGTTGTTGGGATAGAAAGCAAGCCAGCGAAATTACATCTTAGCAGAGTAGAGGGCAAAAGCTGAAGTGCATAGTTATGCAAGATGGAGGCACGCGAAGAGAAAAGTTTTGGTTTACAATTCGGTGATTGGTTGTCAAGAGGCATCTGGTATTAACGGTTACGTAAGATCGCATGATTAATTTGAATGACGCAATGCAGATAAGTTATTACGATTTTAGAATAGAGAGGAAGAATTAATGTTTTTAGTTATATTATAATTCTGATTCATATATTTTTATCTTACATATATATATATAGGATTGGTGCAGCCAATCACAACGAAAACGGGAGAGGCACAAATACATGTTATAGCAGTCCCATATACAAAATTTAAACGTTCTATGGCTACACGGTCTTGAATTATGTGAGATATATACGTACGTATGTATAGACACCCAATACCTTCATAATCCATTTTAAATGCATTTTACAATTCTTTTGGCAAAAACAGTTATTTATTCTGACCGCACGTATTGAAATAATACAAAAGCGTCGTTCAAATTGTTTCGAGAGCGGTTGAAATGGATATTTTCATAAGCTACCCGAAATTTTTCGCGATTACAATACTTCCTTTACTTCGTACCAGGAAGTAAAAAAGGAGGAAAAAAGGAAATTTTTTGCGTAATTAATACATTGTATTAAATTTTTTGGTCCAGAAATTATTAATAATTTTATCTGTATATTTCAAAAGAAGTTACACCTCTAAAAACGACTTACTGAAGGAAGATAAAAAAAAACTAATTTATAATTGTAAAAACTGAGTGCTGACGTTAAATAATTTATCTGAGTAATATAAAATAAAAGTGTTTCAAATTTACAGGGATAAAAGTAAAATGAAAAAAGAAACATATTTTTCGCTGCCTCTGATTTTTAATTTTACTATTCCTTTGTATTTCACATAAAATATGTCTCGTATTAAATAAATCTTTTAATGTTAAAAAATTTCTAAAAGTACTGGCAAAATTTACAGCGTAGAAATATGTTTTATTGCCTTATAAATAAGAAATATTACATGCGTGAAACATTACATTTGTATAATTGGTTAATTTTTGCCACTGGATTCTTGTAATTCATCACGATCAAGGCGATGCGGAATTTTTGACCCCGAAACTTGTTATTTTTTTTAATATGGAAATGCTTCCTAATTTAATCGTTTCTATTACACAAAATGGTGTTCCGACGAACGTGTGAATGAATTTTCATAAAGGCTCAGATGTTAAGCTTGGTACGGTCAATTGCGTGCTAAAAATATTATTGTTGCCACCACGATCTACGAAGTAAAGCTATTATAATTCTCAGAACGTTTCCATATAAAAGTTCCGAAGTTCCTTTTTCCGAAAACGGAAGGTGAATTCTTTTCTTACGACATAGCATTTCAGTGAAGATGATGTTAAAAATGAAGTTTAAATTCCCAACCTTATCTCTTAGCGAAACAAAAATAAAACTTTTACTATAAGAGAGAAAACTTCGCAGTAAAAATAAATATGAAATTTACTTTTAAAATGCTGGCGTTTCAAAAATATCGTCTGCTAGTTTGAATATTCTGTAACTTTCACTTTGCAGGGTAATTTTTCTTCGAAATTTATTTTTAAAAGATGAATTGATTTTTTCCCTGCTAGGACTGTAGGGGGGTAGGGAGAATTCCATAAGCAAAAAGGCTTTTTTTATATGAATATTCTTTTGTATTTAAACTTTTCTCTCTTAATCATATGCGAATATTCATAGCATAAATAAAGGCACATTTTTGACAATTATATTCATACTTTCAATTTATATATGTGTATATAAGCATATATTATTTTTTAAATATTTTCAAAAAACTGCAATATTCACTGTATAAAATATTTAATAAGCTACTTACATATTACAGCAACCATTTAGGCACAGTTTGGCGATTTGTTACAGAATCAAGAAACTTATGCTTTATAACTGGGAAAAAAAAAAAAAAAATTATACATACTTAATACATACATAGGGCTTTAATTAAGCGTTTGTCTCGAAAATCAATCCATAAACGCATTTACAAATGGGTTTTTGTCTCTTTTACTGCAGTGGAAATTTCCTGGCATCTGTTTAACAATACATTCAAAACAGTTGTTCACTTTATAAATTTTGTGACAAAATACTATATTCTTTCAGAAACTGTAGCCCAGTTTCTTGCACTGCAGAAAAATTCTACAAGCAAATATTTTGAAATTGAATTTAAGGCAAAAAATTTCATTATTCGCTTATAAAAACTCTTAGAACTTTGCATACAACAAAAGAACGTATATAAAAATGGCGACATTGCTTGTTAAAATTGAACTATTTACGAGCATGGTTGCCAGAATTTGTCCCTATTGTGAAAATTTGTCGACTTCTACTACGTTGGTTTCACTAATGCGTTTGTACCAATTTCCTTAATTTTGCGACACAATGCGCAAAATTTTGACCTAAATTGGTCTTTTTTCGTTTGTTCTTACAACCTTACTTATAATAATAATAATAATATATATATATGACTTGACGAAAACAAAATGTTGACAAGAACGAACACATTGACGAAAACAACATATTGACGAGACAGAATTGACGAAAACAACTCATTAATTTACGTTTGGGCATTCTTGGCAAACATAAGCATGCTCGTACTTTATTTTGGATGCTTATTGTACCCTTCCCACTTTTATATAACGAATTAAATTTTTAAAACAATAAACAAGCAGAGCAATAAGAACCCACGTATTCCCAGCAGCAAGCGAAGCAGGGAAAAAAAGGATGAGCATTAGTAGCAGTGGTATTTATAGTAAAAAGTTCCTTTAATCCGACTGGACAAGGGCTGTCACATTGCACCATGATTACGTAAACACAAAACAGATTCCAAGGAGTAGTTGCCAAATTAAAAGGATAAATTAGAGTTAGCAATTTTGCGTTTAATGTCTTTTTATCTTGCATATTTAAGTACATTATTTTTCCGCGACATTTAGAATTGTTGACTGAATCAAAATAAATGTAAATGTTTTTGTATAGTTTTATTTACCATATATACCCGCGTATAAGTCGAGATATTTTGGACAAAAAAAAAAAAAGACTTCAAAGTGGGGGGGTCGACTTATACGCGGGGGCATAAAAAATTAAAAGAATCGGAAGTTTAAAAATTTCTTTATATAATGCAGTTGCAGTCAAATTGGACGACTTATCAAATAAGTCACTTACTTGAAGTAATTTCATGACTTAAATTATGTGACGAACTAATCACAGAGTGTCATACTTTAACTAAAGTAAGTTTCGATTAAACCAAAGAATTTTCGGCCCCCGAATAACCGATCAATATCGAGCAATAAAAAAGTTTCGCCAACACGCCAAGAAAAGAGAAATGCAGATAGTTTTTACGTACGTATAAGTCTTTACAATAGTTATTGTTCATTCATGAAATACTTTTGTTAACAGGCGTACACGTCAAAAGCACCTAAAAACGACTGTGGCCGTAATTCCGGGAGGATTGACATCCGTCATTCAACCCCTAGATGACTGCCTCAATACGCCCTTCAAAGAAATTGTTAGAAAATATTGGGCAGAGTGGATTAGTTCCGGTCGACCAACATTTACAAAGGGAGGCAACATTAAAAAGCCCGATATTACATTAATTGCTCAGTGGGTTATAGATGCTTGGAACGAAATACCCTCTGAAATGATTATAAAATCATTTAAAAAATGTTGTATTAGCAACGAACTAGACGGCACAGAAGATGATGCCGTTTTTGAAAGTGAAAATGACGACGAAGGCTCTAGTAGTGATTGTAACACTACAGCGTTCGAAACTGAAAACATGAATGATGACGAGCCAATGACGAAAGAAGAGTTCTATGAAATGTTTGGCGAATCTGACCATGAATCGGACGTTGAAGGATTTTGATTTTGTTTATTTACCAAGGTATTTTTTATCGTATATTTACTTTTTTTTCTCAGATGATTTTGAATAAATGTAGTACTTAAAAAAATTTTTTCGAAGTTTCTCGATCGATTTTGGAAGTGGGGTTCGACTTATACGCGGGTTTTCTTATTTTCTACGAATTTTTTATGTCGAAGTGGGGGGGGGTCGACTTATACGCGGGTATATACGGTATTTGAAATGCTTTTTTTGCCACACACCATTAAAAATTTGTTCTTTCATTTAAAGATTTTAAACTAAAATCTAAAGACTTGTTAGAATTATGGTAATATATAGAAGGCAAAATTTCTGACCATAGGCTATTAGATGTAGCTGTAGTGTCTGGAATAATCATATATGCATCTAATACGACAAACTCCAAATGCATGCATATATTATATATACATATACAGATAAATACCTTGCGAGGGAGGAGGAGAGAAGTTGAAACCAGAATGCATTTCAAATTTAAAACTAATAAAAATCGTTTATTTGAAGCATTATTAGTTTGAATTTGCGTTTACTTTTCTAAAGTAGTCAATTTAAAAGGAAAAAAAAAATAAAATAGATCATCTGCATAAACAAGTTAAATTAGTATGATAACAGTTAATCATTAAATGAATAACTACAGTGTTATTAATTATCTCTCTTTATTCGATGGTCGCCTGCAAAACTTACTCCAAACAGACGATCAATCAATTCTTCCATCAAGATTCCTTTCGAAGAAGATGATCCTCAGAATCCCCGACTTTGTCTGCAAAAGGAAATAAAAATAAATAAAGACAATGTATAACATAGTTCTTCTTAATACAAAGAACAGCTAAGCACTGCATTAAAACATTACCGTGAAAGATTGGGAGAAAAGACGAGAAGAAAAAAAAAGAGCTTAATGAAAAAGAATGTTTTGCGGTACGTTTTCTTAACTTTATCCTCATTAAGCATTTTCGTAATTAAACGACGGGTATGAGTACGAAAAAAATTCCTGGGCAATTAGCGGATTGTAACTTGTTCATCTTAATAGATGCGAGTAATCCCCATTAAAAATGACGTACCAAAAAATAATAAAAGCAAAAGAAAAAATAATTCTTCCGCCATTAGCACATTCCGCTTTCTCGCCCCAAAATTAAAACCGGGAGATAAAAGAGAGAAAAAGAACTATTTCGCTTGTTGCTCCGATAAAATGCTTCGCCCCTCTCCCTCGCTGCCACCATTTTGAAAAAAAAAAAAAAAAAAAAAAAAAAAAAATAATAAAAGTGCGTTTAAAAATCTGGCATAATAAATCGGGAATCATTTCGTTTTAATTCTTTATGAGGTAAAATTTTCCCATTAATTTTTTCTCTCTTTCTCTTCTAAACATTGTTTTTTAAGGTCAATTAAAACAGCGTTAATTTTCGGCGTTTTACCATTAAAGCTTTTCTGAGATCATAATATGCAATCAGAGGTTTTGTTTCATTAGGGTTTTAAGCTTATAATTACATGGAAATGATTATTATTTTCATATTTTGTTTCGTAAATTTTTCTTCTTGTGTCCCTTGTGTTTTCGCCATTTTCGTCTTGTTACCATTATATCTTTCAATAATTCATATTTGTTCTTTATAAAAGCATCTTTTTCTGGCGTTCTTATTATTTATGTATTTACTATATATACATGTAACAAAGAGTTAATTAAAGTTACTCGGATGATGTTTGTTTATTTTTCTTCATTAATTATTGCTGAGGGAACCGATCTTTCTCTTTGGTAAGCCGTTTTTATTCAGCCCGACTTTGTTTGGAATTTAGAAACCTGATGTAAAGATTAAGTCTAGAATTTAATTAAAAACGCATCTTTGTTTGCACGATCAGAAAATAAAGTTATTACGCTCCGAAATATGTGATGTAGTTCTCGGACGGATTTGCAAAAGCTACTTTTTTGATTTTATGCCTACGGTCGTAGAATAATTCGTTAAAATAGTGCATGAGTGTGTGGTATTATAAAATTTTACCCGCTTTCATTTATTTTCGTGGCAACAGAAAAAAAAAGCTCATTTTCCGAAACGGAGAATTTTCTGTGCCCAGCTTGCATAACAAATGCGTTTTAATGAAAGGATTTGTTCTCGCGGAATTCGTACTTAATAAAGATTTTATTAAACTTTAGAAGACTTTTAACATCACGCATTTAGTTTTAATATTTGTTTGTTGCATTTAAATGCGCGGTCTCAAATCTTCTCAGAATTTCATGCATTTTTTTAATCTTTTCGGAACAAAATCTAAAAATCCGTAGAACTCTGAAAGTCATACCTTTATTTAAATAGCTTAATGTTAGTTTTATTATAATAATTAAGATTTTAAATTAAGAATTTTGAGAAGAAGGAAATTGAAGCATACGTAGATCATGACTAAAATAAAGGAACTTTAGCTAACAAAATATTGTTCTTTTATATTTAGAAATATTAAGTCATTTTTAGTAGTGCTGTTTTTAAGATTAACTTTTGCTACATTTGACAGAATATATAAAATGAAATGTTTTGTTTATTTGCTATGCACTTCCGTTTCGTAGCGTTCTAAAGGATCATCTAAGCCTAATACAGGATTCATACCCGCGTCTTTACTTTATTTATTACGCATTTCGCAGTGTTCCAGAATTAATCCTACTGCAGAACTTAATAGAATTTCATTTGCATCAAAATTCTTCTTTTTTATATCTATGCAATTATAGGTTCAAAAACTAAAGCAATGAATTGAATTTAATCTTCGCGTGTGGGCTTAAGCTGCATAAAATCTTTGTTATGGTTCTAGGTTTTTTTTTAATGCAATCTTGAACTGGGTTATAAAATCTCCGAAGGTGTATTTTAACCTTTGTAATTATTTTATCGGCACAGGTAGTATTCGGAAGTCTAAATAGTAAAATCAGATGGCAGTTTCATGGTAAAGATCGAGTTTGATATGAATGATAAAAACGATTTCCTTCCTTTCTTTAAAAAGTCATGAAAAATAACTCGATGAAAACAATCTTTTCTTTTCGGAATATATTTGGCAAATGCGTTGCTTAAAAAAACATTAATGCTGTTTAAATCCAATCATAAAGTTTAAAGGCATTCATAATAACATATGTTATTTGCAATCATAACGTGATATATAAGGTAAGTTTTTCTTAAATGCTTCTAAAATATCTAGGTAGCTAAATAGTTATAGCACATATGTTCTTTGCGATTGAACTGATTGGCTTCGGAGGGAGGCTTTGATAATTTTTCTCATTTGTAATGTAAATAGGCCTAACTTTCTTTAGAAAGACTTTAATACCACTTTCGTAGATAGAAGCTTTAGCGTTATGCCGATTCAATTTTAAGGTTTTTCAGAAGAGATTCTATAATTTTCTTCCATCATATGAACACCTTTTTTTAATTTATAGCTGCTGGGTAAAAGAATTATTCCTTTAATTTATAACGCAATGTTTCACGGATATGCTTTTGACAATTTAAAAAGAAAAGAGAGAGAAATTGCAGTCGGGATGGGGAAGGAAAAAAGGATTATTAAACCAGAATAACAAAAAGCGCATGCATGCGTTAAGCCATAATGACTCAGGCAGGTACTTTTAAAAGTATTAATTATCCTACATCGGGAAAATGTTTTAAAGTTTGTATAATATTGTGCAGTTCAACAAGTTTAATGATTAAGTAAAATTCTGAAAGCCATCAACTTTCTATAACAGTCTAAGCATTCCTTTAGCAAGAGATAGCATGATAATGAAATTATTCTAAACCGAAGTTTTAAGAGTTTTTCTGAAATCAAATCGTAAATATTACACAATTTTAAAATACAAATGCTAAAACATTGAAATATTTGATTGCCGTTATTAGATTACGCTTAAACTCATTCTAAAGACAAATTTTGAATTAACTGAAACGAATACTGCCTAAAACAATTTAGAATTCCTTCTAAACGAAAGACGATTACTTGAATAGTAAGCAGCTAAACGAAGAAGAGCTCACTTAATTAAGGATTCAGGGAAAGTAAAGCTACCTCACGAAGTTAATGCACGACATTTTGCTAATTAGTATTTAACGTCAAACAAAATGAATGGTACTTAACGCCCTGTCTTGAACACCGTGCATTTAAATAATGACGGAAATTACTTATTCCTTATTCTTACATTTCGCTAATTAAATTTCAATAAATCGCCGGTTCATTCCTAACATGAAAAGAAGAAATCCTCTTTATTTTAGTTTTTATTATTTTTTGCATACCAATGCATCCTATATAGAATCTGAAAATAAAAAAAATAATAATAATAATAAAAAACAATAAACTATTTTTGAGTCGAACATATATGTCGTAACGTGTGTTACAGAGTGTTGACTGTGTTTTGTAAGAGGTAGTAATGACGTCATTTCCTTTCAGTTGCGTAATAAACATTCTTTAGCGTTGAAAAATGACAACTGCATAGAAATTTTTCATTAAACAAATAATTATCTAAATACTGTTCTTATCTTGTTTAAACAGCGCGCAGTTCCATATTTATGTTAAATTTCCTAAACGCAGTTCAATATTTAACTAGCTCTAAGGGTGACCTAAAATACTATACTTTTACACTTTATTGTTCTAAAAATGTTAAAAAAAAAACAATTTAAGAATCTCTTACAGTTTGGTAACGATCCCATAATTCTGAGTTCTACTTATTGGTGCATTTCTGCATATCTTCTATCATATTCCAATCAGAATCGAGAAACCTTTGGATGGAAAATGGCGGAAAATTTATGGCTGATGTAAATTGTGTTCTTTTGTATTTGTGAAGTCTGGAAACGGGCGTTTCGAAACGGAATGCATCGGGCGAATGTTATTTTATAAAAATGAATGTTTGTGTTTCCTGTACGTGGATTTTATTAATGTGACAGCATTTGTCGAAATCATTGAAAAATGAGACGAGTAATGTGCACGAAACTTTTTTAAAAAGTTGGTATCATTCTTTTTTGCTGCAATGAATGTCCTTTTATGCAATTTAAATTTTGCGTAACAAATGGAAAACTATTTTGAATTTCCATACTACTACAGTTGTTTACTGCAAATTATAGACATAAAAGTACAGGGTGATTATAATTAAAGTTTAAGTTTCAAAACGCTATAAAAAAAGAACCACTGATGAAAATGATGTGAAATTTGAAAGGAATGTTATTGAAGAAGGCGGAAAGCGTATGGCAGAAGAAAAATGTAGTTTCAAAAGTTAGCAAAAGATAGCGCGCTGTAAGCGCGCAGACGCAGAATCACGACGAGAAACGATAAACGATTCGTAAAACAATGGCTAAGGTAGAAGTTACACAATAAAACGCATTGAGAAATTAGAATTGTTGAATAATTTTATTTGCATGACTGGTACATATCACATCGAAAGGGACAAATCGGTTTCAAGAGTTTTGCGGCGACATACCGCATAAGAACCATTCATCAAAGAAGTTCGGAACTGTCGCGAGACTGGCACAAAACATGTTCAATATGGTATCCACCGTTGTGTGCAACAAGTTGAAAGCGACAAACAGCATGTTCCGCAACGGATCGCAGTGTCTCCGGGGTGATGTTCAGAATGTGTTTGCGAAATGCGTGCCTTTAATTCCGCTAAATTTGCAATTGGAGCACGGAACACAAACATCCTTCAGATATCCCCACAGCCAGAAATCACACGGAGTAAGATCAGGCGATCGGGACAGCCAGGCTGTAGGGAAATGACGGCTGATAATTCGAGCATTTCCAAAATGGCAGCCTCAGCAGCTGCTTCACGGGATG